CTCGGGTAAGTGACACTATCCTTATTTATTTCAGATGACTCATCCATGTTAAAGTAACCTATTACGTATTTTTTGCTCTTATCATCTGATAATTTAAAGTGCCAGCCCTAAACACAGCATATTGTATTTTATCGTTATATCGACTGGCATGTTGCCTTTTGGCTAGCAAGTTAGACTGGGGCAAACATATCAGCTTGTGGCTAGAGCATTAGATTGAAACAAAATCACAGCTTTTAATTCGAATATTGCACTTTCACAATACTGACTGCGCTACTGAACTTTTAATGGAAACATTAACATCAGACACATTTTAGCAATACCTTATTTTTTCACTATAACGCAACAGATAAGGGGATGTAAGGGTGCCAACATTTAAAATTTTTGTTGTGTTCATGTTATGCACTTCTTTTTTTTCTAACCTAAAGACCATTTAATTTTCAATAATCACGTTTTACACCAGTTTGCCGTCTATATGGATTATGAGTAAACATGGACTACAACAAGGTTATGTGTTAAAAACTCACAACATTACTTTATCAAATACAAACAAGTTCACTGTGGACTGGAGGAAAATTTAATTGCAGTGGGAAAATGATTATGATATGTTGATACTGGCAAAGGTCCCATTTTCCCTTCCCTGTGGTTAACCAAACATCCAGCTTCTTACTGATGCATGAATATCAAAATTATTCAGAACGGGCAAGAGATATGCCTTGGGAAAGGTACTCAACCCCCCACTGCCCCAGGCAGCGCTGCTCTGCTGGTGGCTGTGCTGCTCCCAGACTGCGCATAGTTAGGCAGTAAAATTACAAATTTCCCTTCAAGGATTAATAAAGTACATAACATAGTAAGCACGTCTATTGACACAAATTAGATTAAATCACACCTTAGAGAGTGAAGATGGCCCATGTCTGTCTGTATGACAGTGGAACTTGTTTTGAGAAAATATGATAAATGGCTAAAAACACATCAGTGTAGTACGTTCTAACAAATCTTCTAATAAATACAGATTACTGGGTAATACTGGGTAATAAATGACATTACCAGTACACTGTAAAACAATGTTTGGTGACTTCAATCTAATACATGTACTTCATGTGGTATCAAGCATCTTATCTGGTTTTAGTGAAGTCAAATAAATACTTTAAAACAAAACAAAACAAAACAATAGTTCAGATGGACAAAAGCTATATTTCGCAATCTAAATCTCACACTCCAAATCGACCTCTGCTTGACTTGACTTCTTTAGTCAATCAGAATAAGACCAGTCCTGGCTGAAATCCGGCCAGGATTTTCGTGTTATGGTGCACGTAATCAAAGCGCTGCTCAATACTTCTAACATGAGCTCTACAGCTGGAGGTCAGGCTTGGGTCCTGTATGAAGTCTCCAGAGATACAACTGGCCATGTTCTCATTGAGTGAGTAAGTCAGCAGTGATACACATACGCACACATGCTGCCTGACCAGCAGCTTGAAAAGACAGAATGCTCATGCACTGGTCAGCAGGTCAAGTGTCACGATAAAGCAGAGGCCCCCACTACCCTGGAAACTGGTTACGAATACATAAAAGAATAGAATAAAAGGAAAAAAGGAGCAAAAATGTTAATGAGTAGGGATGCACAAAGTTGTTAATGGGAATTTTGGGCTGGAGCCAATATCTGATATTTTTGATGTATATATATCAACCAATGTCAATACATAAATATTTATAAAATGAAGACATTGGAACTAGCTCCACGTAGATTATCAGTACAGAGAAATGTAACACTTATTTGTAGAGGGTTAAAAATGCAATAAAACAAATACAAATTCATACATTTTTCCACAGTGGCACCTATCTATTCTGCTCCTCCAGAGAACAATAAATACAATATCAAATATCGGTCAAATCTAAACATCGCTCTCATGGCGATTTGTTTTAAAACAAACATCTGCCGAGGACAATATTATTGTGCATCCCCATTAATGAGTATGACAATTTGCTTTCATTTTGTATAAATTATAAATTAAATTATAAATTGTATAAATGATAAATTAGGGAACTCTTTACTTGGCAGATGTCATATGCTATCATGAGTTATCACGTTATATTTCGGTAATATAACAGTGTCATGGTACTAGTCCTGTCACAATTATTACACAATCACTTGATTGCAATTATTTGAACTTTTTCAATTACTTAAGCTGAGCACAATTATTGTCCAAAGTTGTTAATGACTGTATGTTTATGTCGCCACAAACAGAATGTGAATTATGTGCTTTTTCGATCATTGGGTTGAGGCAAATTCATGTAAATAAAGGAAAGAAGAAAATGCTTTTATTGATGTTATGGGTCTAACAAAAACAACAAGTTCTAACTTCTGACTGGTGCTATAACACATTTAGAGAACGGTAGTGAGTAATGTTTATTAGAGCTCCAACTGTTTCTGTCATCAATTGGGAGCTACTAGGTATTAACAGCTAGGAAGCAACATAAGCCAATTTGGCTTTAAGCTTGTACTGTAATAGCTACACACTGTAAACTAAGAAAAGACAACTGGTAATTATTTACACAATTATTTCTATGGCAATTAATCATCAGCTGAAATTTGATGATTGTGACAGGCCTACATGTAACCATTACCAGTAAATGTCATGACAAATGTCTTAAGGTTTGATGGCATGATGGTGAACTAGAGAACAAAGGAGAAATGAACATGTGATAGAAGCTGTCATGACATCACACATTATGGCAATGGTGATCGGTTACTGATAACAGTAATGACATTGTTATATTACTGAACAAAATTTGTCAAGGCAACTCGTGACAGCATACGACATCTGGCATGATATGTTCATGGCATGGTTACGTAAATGTTATGTAGCTTGGTTCAAGAAAAGTGTTACCAAGAGCTATTTTATCAGACGAAAAATAAAAAAAATATCTTAGAGAAAGAATGCGCAGACGGGAAGGAACAGGACGAACAAATGGAAAACAGAGAGAAAGGAAAAAGACAATGGTCAAAATGGGTTGTGGACAAAACACTGATTTGAATAAGGAGTGTATCTGTGTTTGGGGGGTGTGTGTGTGTGTGTGTGTGTGTGTGTGTGTGCAAAGGCTAAGCCACAGGGTGTGGTAGTGTTGTAATGTGCAATGTGTAAGCTCATTCAAAGCCTACCACTATCAACAACAATTATACAGTGCAATTACTATTATATACTCCTTTAGAATATAATTCATATGCCTGTTCTTCAATTCTTCCACATTACTCTTTAAAAAAAAACAAAAAACAAAAAACAAAAAACAAAAAAAAAAACATTTTCCCCACAAATGGGGCGTAGTTTCCTGCAGTAACGCTCCGTCTCGACTGATAAGCTCTAGACTCAATTACACATCTCATAACCAATCACTGCCTTCACAATGTCAACATGCTGTACCACTCTGTTCCAAATGGCCGTTTATTCCTCCCAGCCAAACCTGCTATACCATCATCCAAAAAACACAAAAGAGAAGGCAGCGTCATTGCTAATTACTGTATACACAATCACACAATCTAACTCTGTCTCTCTCGCTCTCTCTCTCTGTTTTCTCTCTGTCTCAATAGTGCAGGTTTCCAGTTACAGCAGGTAAATTTCTTCACAATTGAAAATCTAGGTCTATCACTCCTCTGTTGTACAATACTTGTGACATTCATATCAATGGGCTGCAGTCATTAATGCATATCAATGTCCTAAAAAGGAAACTGTGTCAGAAAGACGAGAACGATTTCCTATCTTTTTTTTATACAAACACACTCCACCCTTCCTTCCCACCCTAACTCAACGACCATGTGTCAGTTTTAGATCATCAGAAGACTGGTCACTATCATTCACAAGACAACTAATTAGCATTATCCAACACAATGACAGATGGAAAACCACTCTAAGATTGCACTCTATCCAGTGTAACGTTTACAACAGTCATTTTGCCATGTAGGTCTTTCACAGGAAGGAGTAAAAGCAAAAGGAGTCACACATTTCTGTAAATCTCCTCCTATGATTTTCACTATGAAACACAACAATGTTGAGATGAAGAGACAGCTCACCACCAAAAAGCTCACCAAAAAAAAAACTGTATAATTTATATAATGTGTAATTTTACAGTTTCCAATTTGCCCCAAATGTAGTCAATTAGCCAAGACATCTTCAATGTCCAAAGATGGTCTCATTAGTTTATAATAAAAGTTTATAATAAAAAAATGTGGATGGCACAGACTTCCATTACTTGTTACTTTGCTGGTGCAAATCTAAAGAAGCAAACTTCAGACACCAAACATGTCTTGGCTGATCTACAACATTTACATTTTGTGTAAGAGGAAAATTGTGTGAATTTTTTGTGGTGAAGAATTCCTTCAAAACGGCCTACAGTGAACATTTTCTTTATATTCTAAATTTTATTTTTCCCCTTAGAATATCTGAACACTGTTATGCAGCAAAAATGATCATAATCTGTTTTGATATGACATTTCAACCTCTTTAAAGTTTAGTTTTTTTTTATCTTAAAACTAAACAGACCATTTTTGCTACTGTGCCTTTAAGACTGATACATGTACATGGCCTGTTCTGATTGAAGTTTAGACTGGAATTCTTAGGGATCTCAGAAATAATAAACTTTGGTCACTCCTTTTGGATGAAGTGGTGCATTTGCTTTCTGACAGGCAGGAACAGGACAATGTTTAATCATCTTTGCCTGCATCTTCCATTCCAACAACTCTGCTACAAACTTTCTGCAGTAACAACACCTCTTATCACTTCAACATCATGCTAAACTGCTGTAGGCTGAATGGGCCATCATATGCACAACTGATCATGGTTGCTGTAAATTACTCTGAATTTAAAAGGGGCTGTTTTTGCTGTCAGTTTAAGAGTAAACTGTATATTAGAAACTTTAAAAATGTTTACTTTTATTTCAAAAAGTGCAAGGAAAATTCGGTTTTCCATGATATTGGCTCATTAATGTCTGCACAGACATCTTCTCCCCACCTTCTTCCTCCAGGTGCTTCTCCTCTTCTCCCTCCAGCTCGTCATCCTCTTCAGCATCAGTGGTGCAGCGGTAGCCCTTCTTCTTCAGCACATGGCAGATAAGCACGCCCAGCAGGCCCAGGAGGAAGAAGACCAGCACTATCACAAAGGCAATGTACCCAGGGGTTCCCGTGTCAAGATTCCCACTGCCCAATGTGGTGTTTGCTGCAGACAGATAAACACAAATCAGAGCAGTATTAGATTAAAATTTGAAATTTTCTGAGAGGGGTGATTTGACCGCATCAATTTTGGCATGTTATAATTCATTAGAATCAATTTTAACACTATTCAGCAAACAATGAACTCATTATTTTGGTCTGAATCTTTAGTTATTTATAACTATATACATGGATTCTTACTGTCTCTATTGCCTGTATTGTTCTTATTGTCTATATTACACAACTGTACGTAGTAAACAGTTGTTCCATTCTTATTTGTGCATTCAGTATATTTAAAAAAATATAATACTTAAAAATCTAAAAAATTCTAAATACACCGAAAATAATTTCCATGAGGCACTGAATACTTTCCTAAAGAATCATAACTGATTTGAATTGTGAGGCCACAGATTTGTAGGCTACCTGTATCACTGAGGATTTCGAGCTCTCGTACACATAATTTTAATAATGTATTTTCTTATTTAACAGTGTAAAATGTTACACAAATGTCTTTTAAGTCTATTCAGGTTTAAAATAACACCTAACCATTAATCCCATATTATATCCCATATTATATCCAACAATCTAGAGAGCAAAGGCTAACTTAGGCCATGCTAAGTGGAAAGTCATTATCTGCTTCTGCAGAACTGGAACAGTATCCCACATGAATACTGCTCAGTTGCTGACGAGCAACTGTACACCAGCAGGAGGTCATTAAGGGTCAAAGCATGATGGTAGAGCAAACCGTGACATTCCTGAATCTACTAACACACATACTCTCCACCCTCTCTGTGTGTTTTACAGGCAGAAGTGTGTGACAGTGTAATGGACAGAGAGAGACAATGCTGTCTAATAGTCAGGGCTGAAGAACTGTACAGTAGAGTGTTGAAGAAAGTGGACACTATGCTGACTCAGGCCTCTAGTAACACCTTGACTGTCCTGTTGGGTTCTCCCATTACCTTGTCCTTTTCTCTTTTCCTCTAGTTTTTCTAGCATTCAAAAACACTGTGAGAAAAAGGGTATGGTACACATAGAAAGAATGTATAAGTGTACCCCAACGGTCTTAAGTCCTAGCTGTGTACCTAAAATGAGATTTAAAAGGTACACTATATTTATTTTCCGAGGGAATAACTATTTTTAAATAGGAAAGTAGGAAACCGGAAATTAGGAAATAATCACAAAGTGACTCTTAATAGAGTCAATGCAGCTTAAAAAAAAAGAATGGCAACAGAATATGCTTATAGTCACTGTCCAAAGAAAAACAAGTATCTACAAAATGGCAACTTTACAGGAGAGGGGAAAACATTCTTTACTTTTAATGTAAGATAATATGAAGAGATTTTATTTCAAGCAATTTTGGAGCATTTCTGTTGGTCCATTCATCATGAAATTTTCATACAATGTGAAGGGCAGTTGAGTTCAAATTATGCAAAAAAAAAACCTAAAAACTGTAAATGGAGATACTCTTTTTTTGGACAGCAATGTCACCCAAGATAATTTTTGAGTGCTACTCCATTGACAGTTTTTCCGAGAGTGAAGGTATTATGAGTTGCCAGATCAGCCCAGAAATTCCATATCTGTGCATCCCTAAGCAGAGCAAGACTATGGAAGGAGTGAGACAAAGAAAGAGACAAGGCAATGGCAGATCCAACTGGAAAATCAAGGTCTAACCACAGGGCTTAGTCAGCATAGAGTCCAATTTCTTCACAATACTTTTCCCTTTCTTCTAACTATACTCCATACATGATGAGCACTGAGTGAGACAGGATAAATGGTTAATAAACAGAGCACTGATTCATTTTACATAAGCAGTTACATATCTAACACGTCTCAAGCGAACATGACATTTATCACGTTTCCATTTACATATGTAGTAGATACTCTTATCCAGAGTGATTTACAAAAAGTATGTATCAGCCTTCACATTAGGTGAGACACGTATTGCTATAGTACTTGAGTCCAGCCTCATGTTTCGAGGCCACAAACGAGCAGTCCCGGTCTCGTCTTAATCGCAACCTTATTTGGAGGTATCAAGGTAACATGGACTCGAAAAAAAGTTGTCGAGATCAGCCGAGTTTGACGCCTCTGTCTGATGTAACTGGAGGCTGAATTATTATTAAATATCAACAAAAGCACAATAAAAAAGCTAACACGGATTAAACCAATCAGATTGTTTTCTTCTGACTCACCTAATGTGAAGGCTGATTTGGCAGCTACAGACAGCTGGATGTCATAAAGAGTGCAGAGGCTGAAGAGAGGAAAGCTGTAAAACGGAATTCTGGCTCAATTCAACAAGTTTAGATATCTATTTACTGTGTTTAGTCTCAGAGTGATGGTATAAGTTGTTGGGTTTCAAGGCTTTATTTAAAAAGATCCCTGAGCTGTAGTTACTCGTTTTCAGTTCTCACACACATGAAGCACAGAGCTACATATTCAGAGCTGTATTTACTTCATTTTGGTTTTGCTTGCACTGAAAATATATAACTACTGTTTAAACAATGAGAACAATGAGCGCAACATAAATGTTTTATTCTTGCAAATAATCAAAAATATTTGTCATATTTAAAATTAAGCATGGTTAAATATTTGTATTGTAATAAATTTTTGCATAAAGAAAAAAATGCATTACTTCCATGGCCCACTGGGCCCACAGGTTGAAAGGCACTGCTGTACAGGTTTTAATAAAATCTGCTTTCATGAGCATTTCACAGGGGTTCTGAAGTGGGTACTTGAGATGTTGCAAATTATTCTTAGGGTTTCTTGGATGTTCAGTACAACTTTCAACCCAATCCAGTGAAAAAAGTAAGCAAGAAAGTGAGGCTTAGAGTGCACATACAAAGAATTGCAAAATTTCAAACTTCAAAAATTGATATCTAAAAAAGTACTTGGAGTGGAGCTATAGGATTTTGCATGGTCTCATGAATTGAAGCTTTAAGTTTATTTTTTCAAAAAATTCCACGAGCAGACAAAGAGTCCACATCAAAATCCAACGTTGGACCATTTCCCTGGCCTATTTTTGAGTAAAAAACAATGATTTCAAATGTTAACTACAGTGATGATTTAAAAACTAAGCCTACAGTCCTGTGCTAATTTTGGCATTCGACTGGCGTTCGATAACTCGAACAATTAAAATAATTCAGAATGCACATCCCTAGCATGCAATGAGTTGAGATAAAACAGAAATTTTCCCAATTATCTGTGAATAATATTTCACCTCCCTCAATATAACAGACCCTCTTATTCCTGCTTTTTTTCCTGCTCTGAGTTGGATGAATTCCACCCCATTGCAGGCCAAGCCCAAATCCCTCAGCATCCTGTGGTTTTGTTTGCAATGAATTTCAGCTCTTTTGCCTCTTCACTGCTTACTGAGAGACGTCAGTCAATTCTCCAAAAGCAGCACTCACTCACAGATACAGATGAGCAAGCACACATTTACATACCCAAACTTTATGAAGATGCACATTCTGCCTGAACCAGAACATTTCTTATTTAAATACACTAGGCTCTCTGCTGCACTGCAGATAAGAGGTCAATTCAATCCCTGATCAAAGGTCATGCACTATATCAGTCTTATGTACGGACCTGTCCTGTTTGTCCGTCTGAATTCTGCTCCCAGTCTCGTGCTCATTCTTCCAGCGAGTCAGCTGAACACACTGACAACGAGCCCTTTGTAAGCCCATGTCTGTCACTGCACCTCAGCATGACATGCATATGTGAAGTGATGTGTCTGCCACTACAAACAGTCTTCATGCAGACAGGCATCTGAGTTAACGTTCAGTACGGGTGTACGAGAGGTAGAGCCGGTTACTGATATTCAGTACTTTAAATGTACCGACCAAATGACCTCAACTGAAAACTCCATGTCATTCAATATCAAATTTCAGCGTCAGTGAGCGAACAAGCACGCTTGGTCCAAAATGACATTCCGACACACATTATTACCGTCAGCGATTCTTGATTAGTCTGTGCTCTACTGCGGTGAGTAAATATACTCTTTCCACCACCACACACTCCAGACTGCTTTAAACACATTTTCAGACTTCAATTAAAAAGAAGGTATTGAAAAAAGTATTGTTCAGAAATCTGTATCAATGTATCGATATTCGCACTGATTTTGAACAAATTTTAAACAATATCAGTCCTAATGATATAGATTACGGCACAATTCTCATTTATGAGTATATTGTGAGTATGGCCAGTAGTTTTAGACCACTGAACAACTGCAGGCATCATAAAAAGAGCCTGTAAACAACAACAATAACAACCAGTGAAAAGCAGCTATGTAAACTGCACAGAAACAAGTAGCAGATAGGATAATTGAACATTATGCCACTATCTTGTCCGTAACTTTTTTTTGCAACAATTTTTTCCCCAATTGTATGATTGTACTTACTCATTTTTTCTAAATATTGATACTATGATACATCAACAGTAGTAGGCAGTACAGACAAATATGTATATAATGGTATAATTAAAGTCACTGACACATTTGGTTTATCAGAAAATGCACACACACACACACACACACACACACACGCTACTTCATTAAGTACACCTCCTTGTATCTGCACTTTGTAGTTCTACAATCACAGACTTTAGTCCATCTGTTTCTCTGCATACTCTTTTAGACCCCTGTTCTCCAGTGTCCATTTACTGTCCACTCTATTAGTGGTCCACCTTGTAGATGTAAAGTCAGAGACGACAGCTCATCTATTGCTGCACAGTTTGTGTTGGTCATCCTCTAGTCCTTCATCAGTTGTAACAGGATGCTGTTGGCTGGACATTTTTGTTGGTAGACTATTCTCAGCCCAGCAGCGACACTGAGGTATTTAAAAACTCCAGCAGCACTGCTGTGTTTGATTCACTCAGACCAGCGCAACACACACTAATGCACCACTACCACGTCAGTGTCACTGCAGTTCTGAGAATGATTCACCACCCAAATAGTACCTGCTCTGTGGCGGTCCTGACCACTGAAGAACAGGGTGAAAAGGGGCTATCAAAGTATGCAGAGAAACAGATGGACTACGGTCTGCAATTGTACGAAGTGCAGCGATGTGGTACGTGGAGCTGATAAAATGGACGATGAGTGTAGAAACAAGGAAGTGTACTTAGTGAAGTGGTCTGTCAGTTTATAGACTGATAAAAGCATTTAAGATGCTTGAGTAAACCTATATTTGTAGGTTAACAGTGGTAATTATTCTGGGATGTCCCATCACATTAAACTAGAAAAATCTTTATCATTATTATTATGAAATAAATTTAAACATTTTTATTGTGAAAAATATCAAAAACTCAACCACACACAGATAAACCTATGTCGGCACTGCTCTTTAACCCAGAAATTAACACGCAGAAGCTACTCTGGCTTCTATGCTAAATGTTGTCTCGTGCCTGAATGTCTCATTCATGCTGAACACTCGTGCTTACATCTATGCCTGCCCGCCTCTGCTGGAATTTGGAAAATAACAAGTAATTTATGCTTACAATACAGATAGCTGAGACTGAGGCACCATTTGATGCATCTGAAGCATCCATGCAGGCGGGGTGAGAGCAAACAGAAGCACAGCTAGTAGGCTGGTTTCCATGCTAGGCTAAAAAGCCTGGAAACCATGTTACACACCTATGCCCACTGCCTCAAAAACAAACTAGACTACCTCAGACTGTAACTGACTACTGACAGCGATAGGTGATCAATTGATTATATTTTTGGTATACTGCCCACTCCCCCATGTACTGAACAGTAGTGGATGTGATGGCCTGAGTAAAGACAGAGCAGAAAAACTGACATCCCTTTGAGTTGTGACTCACCTAAGAGATCAATAAACATGTCAAATACCCACTGAACACTATAACCAAATAGGGAGAGGCAAAGGTTAAGAGGTCAGACTACTGTGACAGAAACAGTAGCTATAAACATCTGTCAATTAGACATGTTAAAAAAACTCTGTATTCTTGTGGATACACTGATGCACAGTGATCATGATTTAAATGCAGGAATTTTGCTTTACATTAGGCTGAATGCCATTTTTTCACCAAGTCCATTTTTTAGGTTTGAGGTTTGAACGCCGAATGTAGTTTGCCAGCCTGCCAGCTCACAAACTCTGTGTTATTAGGTTAACTTTTCCCAGTTCCCAAATTTAAGACAACACTGGATCGTGTAGGTTCTAATAAATTGCCTCTTCTGCGATTTGAAAATTGCATTCTTTTAAATTGTGATTTCAATATAAAAATGACTAATCCTTCATGTCAACAGCCCATTTCTGGTCACAAGACTGCAGGTTAAGTAGTAATGTCGCCAAGTGTCAATTAATATGGCAATACAAAACCAGATACAATGAAGAATTCCCACATACAAGTTTAAAACAGATTGTTAACCAACATAATTTGGAACAGGTTTTATGATGTACTGCAAGAATGCATTGAACAACCAGCATTTGAGCCACTCTCCTGGACAAAGCACTGAGAGGAAGCACCAGTGATGTACACATGACGACCTAACTGCAGCCGAAGACACTGTGAAACTTTTTGGGACTGTAAAAATGGCAATGTCACACACAAAAGGCAACAGCCTACTGTGTGGAGGGTTAAACCACTTCAGCTACTTAACTACAATGGTTAAAGATCTCAAGGGCCGATACATGGATGGTCAGCAAGTGCTGTACAAAGCAGAAGGTCCACAATTTACAATCCATCCTAATTGCCAGAAGAGGTCTGAGCTGCCAGCTTTAGGAGTCTGACATAAAGAGCTGTGCATGACAGGACCAAAATGTAAATGAATGACCATAAATAAGATGGTGATATCGTTATCGTAAGTTCTGTCACGATACACAGTGAGTGCCACCATCTATACTGACAGCCTATGTTAGCCAGATTGGTTTCCGTTGTTACTAACGTTACTGGTTGTATGTTATTATGATAACGTTTTCCTTAGGTTGGTTTAGAACATGTTTCCGAATCTAAGAAGTCAAATATACACACTGTAGATAATATCTTTCTAGACATGCAGTGGCCTCAAAAAGTATCAGGACATTAATGCCATAGTTAAAAATTAAAGAGTCTATAATCAGTTTGAGTTTGAGCAAACATAATTTTATTTCATATTTTATTAAGTAACCAAAATAACATCATTCAAGTTTACCAGTGGTTTTAAATAGTGCCCACATACCACTATATAATAAGGAGCTGAACAATAACGACATCATGGCAGAACAGAAACTGCTATAAAAATTAATGATTAACAATTAATAAAAATTAATAAAAAATGTCATCTGTGTCCAGAGTTTACTCCGATTCCCTCTGCATATATTTTGGCTACATTGGATACTGGGTTAAACAGCACTGAGCTTTTTACAGCAATCATGCTGTAAAAATATCTTTTTTTCATCACTTTTATCAAATACTTTTAAAAAAAGTGCAGTACTGGCTACTGAAACTAACAAGTTGGGCATATTCTTAAATAACCTTTAAAAGACCACTAAGCACAACATATACACAGAAACCATAAGAATATAGCTCTCTGACAATTTAGCCAACACATGAAATAAGCCTTTAAAACAGGACAAATACACTGGAGTGGATCACAAAGCAAGGACATGCTCTCTCACACTCTCTCTAACTTGAGATGGCAATTAGTCTATAATGACATAAATCAGTGGATTAGCCGTCCTCTCCAGCGGGCAGCTGCAGCAATGACACATCAATGACACAAATAAAGGATTCAGAAGAAAAGCAGAAATAGGAACTTTCAAGCGATAAACAACAGGCCACTGCTTCAGTTTTCCATTAAAAGGCCACTTTCAAGGTTAAGCGCTATATGAGGTGTAGGCCCACTCCTATTCCGTCTCCACAGGCATAAAGGCAGGAAACACATGCCAAGCTCTTGGCAGGATCGGTGTCTTATGCAATAATACAATGCACCGTATAGCAAGTCAGTGACATGACAATTTACAATATAATAGTTCCAGCAACCTGAAGAACAGGGTAGCAACACTGCCTTCTAAGTTTTGCTCGGTTACAATTTAGTCATTCACATTTAATTACTACTTCCCTTTTCTGTTTAATTTATGTAATAGCCTGTGGCATAACTAGGACCTGATAGGCCCCAGTCTCAAAAAATAACCATGCAAAAAATAACTTTCAATGAAAAAAATAGAAGAGGACAATATAATCTGCTTGTTCAGTCTCTATTATCTCTGCCACTATCACTCAAACAAGCTCATGCTCTAAAGCACATGTGTCAGGCTCCGGTCCTCACAGGCCAAAACACTGCAGACTTAAGCACACTGCCTCATTAAACACACCGAATTCAGCTCATTAGCTAATTAGCAAGGCCTTCATGAACTGAATTCAGAGTGTTAGATGAGGGTAAATGCTAATCTCTGCAGCACTTTGGCCCGAAAGTCCCCAGTTTGACATGCCTGCTCTAAAGGCATGCCAAGCACTACCACCTTATGCTAATTTTTCATGGCAGACTTTTTAAGATTGTATTAAAATAAGAAACAATTATTATACAACATGTTGCAGTGGTGTGAAGGACTGTTACCATGGATGAGCTGCATTATGAATGAGAGGGAGATAAACAGACGTTGAGGCTGTCTGTGCAGCGTTGATGGAAATTAACTGCTGATGTGTTGTTAATGAACCAAATCTTTCTATGCTCACTATATAAGTATCTAGGAGGGTCCCAATAAAGATTTTAGGTGGCCCAATCACCATGAGCCCTCCTTTGCCACGGGTCACAGTGTGACTGCCCCTCACACCATCACCCTCAGTAGTTACTCCACTGGCAAAAGAATTTGTACTGCTTTGTTGTGACTTTGAAGCTTTAGCATTTTATTCTTATTTTAGACCAGTGCTAACAGAGAATAATAGAGCCTAATAAACTTCAGCCTCCATGCTGATGGATGCTGGATGTTCCACCGCAGTTCTTTAAGTACTCTATTAGTGTTTTACAGGCTTCTTTTGTACTTTTACTCAAGTTGTGTTTTGAAAAAGTGCTTTTACTTCCACAAGTTATTATTCCATTAAATAAACTTGAGTATGGGTTTGCGCTACTTTACACACCTCTGCTTAGGTCTGTCACAATCAATTGAATTTCACAGCAATATAAACATATAATTGTGAAAGCTAACAACTGTGGAAAATAATTAAGATCAGCTAAAATAACAGTGATTCTCTCAAATAATTGCAATCAGGCAACTGTGTAATAACTGTGACAGGCATACCTTTATTAGGTAAAACTGCAAAAAGGTAAAATCAGAGAGATGAAGCTGTGCTGTCACCTAGGGCAGTACTTTGAGGATTCACGCCGTCATTAAATTAGGTGTTCTTTATGTCTCAAATAACCTGTTAAGCTAAAGTATATTTTCTATTTTGGCTGGAGGAGTCGCACTAGGAATTTTAAAAAAAAACTTCTGAGAAATTATTGAGAAACTTATTGATACATGTCAAGGATGGAAGATCCTACAGAACATTGGACGGTTGTACACAAGAGTAAATTACATTGTGCCAATACACCAAATCAAAACAAAGAACTACACATACATGCAAACTTTGTGGCCTTGACCACCACAACAGAGTCTACAGAGAGAACAGCTGAGAGGACAGTCAGTGATGGGGGACACTTGGCGAACTTTTTCCTACAGACAAGCCTTGCTGTAGCTTACTTTGGTGCAAAGCAGTCTGTCCCGTACATGCATACATATATATACACACACACACAAACTGCGCCATGTATCATCCTGTTTAGAGTTGGGCTGCACTGTCTCAACTACTGCAGTCTTTCCTGACCACAGTCTGTAAGAGGGTCCTGGCTAGATGTGGCCTGATCTGGTACTGACACGATGTTGGCTACAAAGAATAAAAAGACATAAAGGCTACTTACATGAAGAATCCGCCATCTGCCTCCAGGAAAGCTGTGGGTTTGCTCAGCCGAGTCAGACTAACTGAGAGAGTCCCTGGTGTGTTCAGAGCGCAGTGTCCGAGCGGTGCGGGTCTGCAGTGCTAGTTAAGTCAAGGCTGCAGGTTTGCTCTGGTTTCCTTATTCTCAACGAGCTACGAGGAACAGCCCACTTTTAACGTTCAAGCTCGAACATCACCACACCCCCACAGCTCGAGGGTCCTCTGAGGAACGACCCGTTTAAAATATAAACGACATACAAATTAGACACAAATTACACTGGCTTTGTTGTTAAGAACAGTCGTGTTTGTGTGTGTGTGTGTGTGTGTGTGTGTGTGTGTGTTAATGAAAGAAACACACACTGGCGGGTACTACACGTCTCCTCCACAGCAATAGATGGTGGTGGAGGCAGAAAAACGTTTCCTGCGAAGCGTAGAGTGGAAGGAAGTTGTCAGTGGGGAGTGATGGGAAATGTAGTGCCACCCGAGCAATGGCACGTAAAGACTCACTTCCGTTAAACTACGTTGAGATTTGTGGAGAAGCTTAAAGTATTGTCTACCATTACTTCTAATGAATTTCATAGATACTTTGTCCCACATCAAAATATTTTAAGGAGCTATCTGATTTAGTTCACCAGTGACTGGAAACTGACAATGTTGTGTGCTTAGGTTTTAAATCTGCTAAAAGGAAATTGTTGGATGTTTTTGCAACTGTAGACATTTTCAGGTCATGGCAGATAAATTTTCAGGAGGATAAAGGATGATTAGTGTCATAACACACTGACAAATGTGAATTAGTTACTAAATGTACTGAGCTAAAGTAATTTATGAAGCATATTTAGGGTTAAAATACCAATTTTATTCATTCACCCACACCTGTGATTTTAATTTCCAGATATAAAAATACATTACTGAACTATCTCTTGTCAATTAAAACGCCACTGAATAAATGTTCAGTCAAAAGCCTTTTCTAATACATACTGTTGTTGATCAGTCATTTATGTCTCTTAATATGTATGTGCCCCTACCACAACACTGACCAAATGACCTAAAATAAAGTTGTTGTTATTGTTTTTTTTTTTTTCTCAAAGACAAACAACTCTACTTTCAATTGTAACATAAGTTACATGGACAAGAGTGCTGGAAAACTAACCTAGGTGTCTCTGGATTTGCAGAAAAGCAGAGCAAATATTATCTTAAATATCTTTAATGTTTAACCTTGCCATACAATTTATAACTACTGATTTAAATTAGACTTTAAAAAAAGTTTTAGATAGATACATACATAAATACATACAAACACATATCGCTGGTATCAGAACAAAACCTTGTATATCACTTTTTGACAATTTGAAAATATCTGTTGCCCTTTACATTGTATGTACATTTTATGATGAATGGACCAAATGAAATTGTCCAAAATGTCTTGGAAAAAAGTCTGGTTCCACTGATTTACATTAGAAGTGAAGTAAGTTATTTTTCTTCTCCTCTAAAGTTAATCATTTTGGAGATACAAGGTTCTGTTCCAAAAACAGCGATATATATATATATATATATATATATATATATATATATATATATTTTTTATCTCTACGCTCATTGTCCATTTTATCAGCTCCACTTACTATATAGGTGCACTTTGTAGTTCTACAATTACAGACTGTAGTCCATCTGTTTCTCTGCATACATGGACCCTCACAGAGCAGGTACTATTTGTGTGATGGATCATTCTCAGCACTGCAGTAACACTGATGTGGTGGTGGTGCGTTAACGTGTGTTGTGCTGGTATGAGTGGATCAGACATAGCAGTGCTGCTGGAGTTTTTAAACACTATGTCCACTCTATTAGACACTCCTACCTTGTAAGTCCACCTTGTACATGTAAAGTCAGAGAAGATAGCTCATCTGCTGCTGCACAGTTTGTGTTGGTCATTCTTTAGTCCTTCATCAGTGGTCACAGGATGCTGCCCACAGGGCACTGTTGGATGGATATTTGAAGAACTGGATATAAAGAAGAAGTCTCAGCCATCCAGCCAACAGACAGGGTGTTTATAAACTGTGCAGTTAACAGGGCTACAGTCGACAATTGTAAATCTATGAAGTGCACCTGTATGGTAGATGCTTCTGATAAAATGGCCAGTGAGGGTGGACTTTCCATTTTGTACACCCCCCTGTACGTACAAGACATTCACTCTTAGGTCCAGCGTCTGGCTATCACATTTGATTTTTTCCCCATTTCAAAAACACCGATCCCTTTAAAGACTTACCGCTGGAGGGAGGACACACTTACAAACAGCTGACTGATGCATAAGATCAGCAAGATGTGGCAGTAATTTTTATCTAGAGTATGAGACCAGAGAGGTCTAAAAGAAGAAATTAGTGCACAATGTAGCGCCACCAAGGCAGATCAATCAGCTTTTTCAATTTAAGCAGTTCTCCTAAGGAATTCCATACCTTCTCCACAACAAAATGCACTGACTGTAATTATTTTGCACTTCAGTTCATCTTTGCTTGCAATAATCGTATTATAATTAAATGTATCAGAATGTTGTGTTGTTTTTCTAGCTTGTACTGTGAAATTTTAACCTTTGTTTAATATGTTTTTAAATGTGTGTTGTGTTGCGAACATGCTGTTTATTTAAATGCATCACTTGTTTTCTGGAAGCAGATGAAATTCAGATTGTGGATAACTTCAGGACAAACGTATAAACTGACCACTGAGAAATAAATGGAAACATAAAAAAATTACCACTTAAACAAAATCACTTGCTTTTTAATAAAACACAAGATGTTAAATTTCTTTATAATTGGTATAAAATAAGGACACAGTTAGAAACTTCCATAAGATTTTTATATTGGGTCAAGAAAGTTACTACAATAAATAACCAAAAGGAGAAAGAAACAGGCTAAAAACAGGTACAAATACAAACTGAGGTTCACCTGATCAAACCACACTGCACCAAAAAATGTTGATGTTACCATTTTGTAGGCACCCTCAGGGAGAGCTGTCAGTATTACATAAACTGCAGCCCAGCTGGCCGACAATTTGAGGCTGTACATAAAGCCTCTCAGTTTGAAGATATTGAACCTGAGTCTTTCCTCAGTATGGACTCTCTCTCTCTCAAACACGCCATGATTTTCATTTTATCTAAACGGCATTTCACTCATTTTGTGACTACCACTTTGGTGAATCTACTGCATAAGACGACTTTTCCTTGTGGCAGAGGACATTTTTTTATACCTGTGTCTTGTCTTCCTGTCTCATTGGCACAAACAAAACAGTAGCTTCAAGTGAATTCAAACCATGGCTAGAGAGTTCAATTAACTTTCTTTAAAAACATGTCGTGTCAGACTATCCACTTCCATCTATCCATCCAACTATCCGTTTCTCCGCCTTCTGGAGCAGTTTTTCTAGCCGTCCTCCTTTCCTCCTGTTTTGCTCAGCTGTGATAGAGGTTAGTCATCAAATGTATTAGTCAAAGGAAGTGTGAAAATAGACACATTAGATGCATGAAGAAACATTAGCATCAACAGCTCTTTAAGTATACTTACATGCTTTTTGAAGAATGAAGAAAATCAGCAGCATATGAACAGAAAAAAACAGCATATGATTAGAATTCGTCTGCTTTTAAAACAATTTAGTTCAACTGAAATAATGCAAATCACAAATTACCTTTATAACATCAACCCAATTCCAACCTCTGGGCAGTTCACCCTTGTTATCTGTTGATTGCAAAGAGCAATTACATGAATGTATATAAAACAGTCCATCCACATTGACCAAGCTATTTGCTCAGTAGTTTTAGATAAAAAAAAAAAACAATGCTGTATTTAAGATCAAAAGGCCTTATTCATACTTGTCTTACTCAGTCTACAATTCTGCATATCATTCTTTGTATAAGCTTACCAGTTCTCCCAATCATTTTCCGTTTCTGCGCCTTTGTTAGCTGTTCTTTCTTCTCCTTTTTCTTTGTGACAGAGACTGGACTATTTGTATCGGTGTTTGAGGTCAAAGTCTAGGCAGAACAGAAAAAGCAGTTAGGCTAAAGCACAGTTTAGCAAAAGAGAAATAGCATCCTAAAGGCCTGCCATTAAAGTGATGACCAAAATCAAATTACAATTTTCTTCCTATCCCAAATGCAGTCAATCGGACAAGTTATGTTTGGTATCTGTAGTTTATGGCAGCCGCAAGGCTAATGTAGCTAATCAGTAATGATAGTTAAGCTTAGTGTCATTATCCAGATTTGCTTATGTGGTTTTTGACACTGTATGAAAAACTACAATCTACAAAAATGGACAAAAGTAAGGCAAAATTCAGGTGTCAGTGCGGCTGCTACTACTGCTTTTAGTTCAGCGTTTCAAAGTTGCAATTTTTTTTTTGGTTAATTTTTTTTTTGTGAAAAACAATAAAATATGGTGTCTGTGCGCTGCTGCTAATCACCCTGTAAAAACTTGAAATGGTGTTCGGTTAATACATACATCTAACATTAACGTCATTAACGTACATTAACGTCAAGACAAAGTCCAGCTCAATGTTCAGGTCTTAAATGCAACATCAGCGTTATACTGAAGAAGATCTGATCACAATAGTAGATACGTCACATCCCCAGAAGACACGTCTCTCACCAAGAGGAGAACTCCAAGAGGAGTTCTCTTTGAATACTTTTAACTTGCTCAATCATCAGATTCATCCGCTCAAGGAAGGGATCAGAAGCATTTTGACATTACAAATGTGCAATTACACATTTACACCAGAGGTGTCTCAAAATCCCCCCAAATTACTTAACATAGTTTTAAATTTTAAACATGTGTTCTTTGTTTTTCTACAGTATTTTATACAATCAGTCACACATCAGTAAAACTATTTGAAATTACTAAGCAAACATAAAACACCAAACAAGTCTAAGTGGATTTACAACATTTTGGGTAAGGAAAAAAAAATGTTTTTGGACAAAAAAAAGCTGTCTAAGCAGCTTTTTACAGCAGAAGTATTCATGTTAGGTAAGACACTGACCACGGCAGACATTACAGGCTGGTGATTTTCCATGAGCATCTCCTGGTTTTCTTTGGCCCACTCGAACAGAGTGTACATCATTGCAGTGCCAAGGTTTACCTCCACCTGCTCTTGTAACTTGGAGATTATAAACTGCTTGGTCTCTGCAGAGCTAAAGATCAAGACATATCCAGTTTACAATGAAAACCTGATACCACAATTTACTGAGATAATAAGTGAGAGAATGTCTTGCTGCATCTGTAATCTCTATTTCATGAAGTCTACACATAACCTACGTAATCCCAACAGTCATCATAACCATAAACTCCAGAAAGAAGAGCATAGGTTTTACAAGTGAATTGTGATGATCAGAGAAAATA